AGCGGGATTTGGACCCACAGTGCATCGCAGAAGGGTGCAGGGGTGGTGTCAGCGAGGACAATCGGGATTGGTAGGGCCGCATGTAAGTACAGAGCAACCCCACCAGCCCTCCCTCGTTTTGAGTCAGCTCGAAAAATAAAGTACCCGTCTATCGAGATCACCGCGTCGGAGACATCTGGTGTGAGCCAGGTCTCTGTGAGTGCGATTATGGACGGTTAGTCAAGGCTGGCTGGGTGTTTAACATCGCCGAGTCTGTTGAACAGACTGAGGCAATTTGTGGACGAGCATTTCAACACTGTCTCTGCTGCCTCCGAAGGCGAGGAGCCGATAGTTGAGCGACCAGGGTTTTTAGCAGACTTAATAGTTGTGCACCGGGTTTGGGTCTGGGTCCAAGGCTCCATGGGGGCCTCTGGGGAGATGTTGTTTGCTTCCTCTCTTTCTGGTTTCTGGGGGTGCTCTTCGCTTGCGAGGTTATTTTCGTTCCGTGGAGGCTCGGTTTGCTCGGGCCTTTTGTCTATGGGGGACGGTTTTTTTTCCATGGGCCAAAATTTCGACCGATGCTGTTTGTAGCTCTTTCAGCACCCCCTTTTCGTCGACCAGATTTGCTGTTGATCAAAGGTTTGCTGCAAGCTTTAGCCTTTCTGGATTCTTGGGTGTTTTGGCGCAGTTTGACCGGAAAAGTGTCTCTGTGAGGCCCTGAACGCTGGGTGGTAGCACCAAGAAGTAATGATTTTGGTGGCGTTCCCAAGAGGCTCGTTTTCCTGGAGGACTGGACCTTGAAGCCAGCCAGCAGTTTTCTAATCTGGCGAACTTTATGTGGCTTGTCTGGCTGCAGTCGAACTTCTTTCGTGTTTGTATGCACACCCGATCCGCCGGCGATCAGCGGGGCCAACTGGATGTACGAGGGATTTTCCGGATGGCTGTAGTCACCTTTATGGCTTTGGTTGTCGGGGTACTGGGCGACGGTTGTGTCCACAAGCAGAGGCGGAGTGGAGCTGGAGATTGGCTTCGCTTCTTGTCCCCACACATCTGACCCAGCCCAGTTCAGAGGCTGTGACTTTGTTGAGGGGTGCACGGCTGTAGCTGTCCTTTGATACGGAGGTAAGCGTTGATAGCTCCACGCAGTTTGGGGCTGCTTGCATGTGGGGTTTGCCTCCTCCAGGGCATCCCTACCTTTGATGGGTGAAAGGCCTGTGGCGGTCGAATAAAAACTGCTGTCCGGAGACGCAGCTGGTTTCGTCGGCCTGCTTTCGGGAGCACAGGGGAATATGACCACAATCGGCCTGGTCAAGAGTTTGGGGTCGGCTGACTTGGTGCCCGGCGGAAGCCTGTTTCGTGCTTCCACCCCTGACCTGCTATGACCAAGCTTTCGCGCGTCTAGATGACGATACCCAGATAGGCGCCTGATCATTGGGTTGGCCTTTTGAATGCTGCCAGCCCGCTCCAAGATCTCCTGTACGTCAGATGGAGAAGAAAGAGTGACTAGATGTCCAAGAGTTCACTTACTTCCCCTCTGGCGTAGCCATTCTGCGTGGAGCGATTGGTCAGGCTTGGTGAGGACATTGCTAAGGATCAATTGCGCCCACTTCGCTGGCGTGATTTTCCCGGAGAATGAGCCCCAGATTATTAGCCTGTTTTCCCTTAGGCGCCCGTCCACTAGAGTCGCTGTGGCGGTGTTTATAGCCGCGTCAGAAAGTTGTATGACTTTCTTCGCAGCAAGAAAACTCGGTATGAATATCGCGAGCTACTCGTTCAGCGAAGAAAGTTCCTTGTCAACTTTCGTACAAGTCGCTGCATTCTTAGTGTTTGAATCCTCCAGTGCTTTAGAAAGACGCTCCAATTTCGCGTCGAGTATCCCGATCAAAACGAAACACTCACATCGGCCTTTCTGAATCTGCAGATGGGATTGGGTACTGTTATTTGGAGCTCTCCTCTTGGCCGCAGTATGCAATGCACCCTTAATATAAAGGCAGCTGGCGCGGACAAACGGGTCAGGAGAGTTAGCTAGTCGGATTATCTGGTCGTCCTGTAAACCCGTGCATTTAAAGTGTCTCCGGGCCTTGCAGGTTTGGCATTGCATACCGCGTTTGATGTTCGACGGGCAACCATTTCGCCCACATCTGTTGTGGTTTGTCAATGGTTGCAGAGGGCAATCGTTGTAAATTGATGTCATGTTCAGGACTAGATGTAAAATGGGAAGTGTGCGCAAAATATCAAGGGTTATCTCTCAAATGTTTTGTTAGAGTAAAAAATTCAACAATCACTCGTGTGTACTCTGTGAATAGATTGAACAGCTAAAAAATTCTTCCACAAATTTGCACGGGGGAAAAACAAAACCGATTTCGAACGTACATCGCGCAAAATCATGTAGATGCATAAAATTTGCCAGTTTCCCAGTATGGCATCTAGAGAAGTTCTCAGCTCCATCTCGCCACATAGTCCTGCCTTTGTTATCTTTATCGTGTATCTCCTACCGCCAAAAATAGCATCCATGCTGACTCAA